CCAAGCTCTCATCCACACAGCCGTTCTCCTCGCAGAAACTCTGCAGATCTTGGCAGGGAACTGGCCGTTCCAGGATCATGCTGTAGCGACTGCGACGGTCAAACCACTCCACAAGCTGCAGGACGTTGGGGCAGGCAGGAGCTGAATTGACCCGGGTCATCAATGCCACCTCCAGCGGCAGCAGACCCTGACCTTCCTGCAGGGACAAAGGCTCCGTTATATCCAGGGCTGAACGAAACGGATGAAACAACAGATTCACACTGGAACTTACAACTTTCAGCCTCTCTTGGGTCCTGTCTTTAGAGACGTACTTGATGGCAACCTGTAGACGAATAAACCACAGTAAATCACACCTGCCTAATTGTGACAGATGACATTTACTGATATCAACATTTCTAAAGGCTGTCTGAACAAAGGAGGGAAGAAAATGTCTTACTGGCAGTCTGTCAGACCTGCGGATCCCAGCATACACAGAGCCGAATCCGCCTCGTCCCAGCAATGGGCCCTTCGCATATGCTTCTGTAACACATATGATCACAAGAAATGTCCTTAAGAGAACACATGTATCTAATGAAAAATCATTTAATAATTGAGCCATAACTTTTAAATGAAAAGCTTATTCTGACCTTTGCGAGAACGTTTAGCAGGTCTTTTAAACGAAGTGGATGGACGTCCATCATCTTGGCTCCTCTGGCTGCCGCTTTGCCTCTTCCTCTTCCTGTCAGCCTTACCTGTGGAAACAGAAAACACAGAAGACAGAGGTGCTAAATATCCAGGAAGCTCCCGGCTCAATGTCTGCGTCGGGTCTGGCAGCGGATCCTGATCGCCATCATCAGAACCGAGTCTCTCCTGACCAGCCGTCTGAGTGGAAGCGGCTCTGCTGGATCTGGAGCGGCCTGAGGATGGAATATTTCAGACATCAAAAAATGTTTTTTTATCAGTAATTAATGTCACCAGTCACATCAAATTATTACTTTATTATTTTCAACTTTTTATTTTCAATGACAAATCATTTAATTATTAACAGAGACGTAACTTTTTTTAATAAAAGCTTATTCTGACCTCTGCGAGAGCGTTTAGCAGGTCTTTTAAATGAAGTGGACGGACGTCCATCATCTTGGCTCCTCTGGCTGCCGCTTTGCCTCTTCCTCTTCCTGTCAGCCTTACCTGTGGAAACAGAAACAGAAAACACAGAAGACAGAGGTGCTAAATATCCAGGAAGCTCCTGGCTCAGTGTCTGCGTCGGGTCTGGCAGCGGATCCTGATCGCCATCATCAGAACCGAGTCTCTCCTGACCAGCCGTCTGAGTGGAAGCGGCTCTGCTGGATCTGGAGCGGCCTGAGGATGGAATATTTCAGACATCACATGGTAATGTTTTAATAATAATCAATATTTAATGCCAGTGGTCAATTAATAATTGTTACTAGTTCACGTTACTCAAATAGAAAAGTTTATTTCATATGCAAGGCATCGAATACATGTGATCACTTAGCTGGGAACATTTAGGGATCAAATTAGTTATCTCGCACAAGTTTCTTCACATTAAGTTAGTCAATCATTGTACCGGGTACAACATCATACCAAAACATACCAATAAAAAATTAAAGACTCACCTCCTCTTTCACCAATGTGAGCCATCGATATCCTCCTCCAACCTGCAATAAAAACAATACAAAAAAGAGAATACAAATCTCCCCAGAAATACTCCTCCTCCAAATAAAAAAATAAAAAAAGAAAGTATAAAATTAAATAAAAAATGAAATAAAACTCGAAACTCCTTCTAAAATCAGAAAAGAACAATCAAATAAAAGTTTTGAATATTTTAAAATAAGATATGAACTCTTTCAAAAGTAAAACTCTGTGATGAAAATATTCTCCGATCTCTTTCTAAAGTCTCCTCTCAGCAATCCTCCGAACAGCTTCAAAATACTCTGTAAAAGTCTCTTAATTCGCCTCGTCCGTCAACCATCAGATGGCGATCAGTGAAATTGTTGATATATGCAGTCAGAATTCAAAAAACGCGTCGCTATAGCAACTAAAATCGAATCGCTCATTGGCACAACACGCACGTGAAGTCGCGTGCGTGAGTACAGCAGAGCACGTGAGCGCACATCGAGCTTAATCTTTGACGTTTTCTTTAATACTTGTGAGATTTATTCAAATTCTGAACATATATTATTATTATTATTATTATTACAATCCGTGGAATTATTCGTGTAAAATCTTCGTCAAGCTAATTGCAAAAGCGTCCACTTCCCAAAGCTAATTTTCACTCACAGTCTAATGGAACCCAGTCATTGCTTCTGTCCAAAATGCGAGCAAAAAAGCTAAAGGGAGGATAAATTGGACGAGTGGCCACCCACTTATACACCTCATACGGATACTTGTTATAAAGATGTCTCTCTCAACAGGGAAAAAGTGGATATTTTTCATGAAGTTGGTTTGACGTTCGATATTCGCGTATTTAGTCGCGTCTCTAAAGTTACATGCGACATTGGTATAAACGTCTCTAACTTTTGCATTTGAAGACAATGACTTACAGTCATAAAACCAACTGTAAATTGTTCATCTAGGTCTCAGGTATGATGCACATCTTTTATATTTTTTATATTTATGACAATAAACTGTTAAATCACGTGTAAATATTGCTATGTATTTCACTACTGTATGGGGTCATACACAAAATATGACATCATTTAAAGCTCAATAGCATTTGAAGACAATGACTTACAGTAATAAACCAACTGTAAAGTGTTCATAGGTGTCAAATATGATGCACACCTTTTAGATTTTTGATATATATGACAATAAACTGTTAAATCATGTGTAAATATTGCTATGTATTTCACTGCTGTATGGGGTCATACACAAAATATGACATACTTTAAAGCTCAATAAAAAAAAATATGATACAAAATATCTTAATATATCAAACATGTTTATTTGTTTTTCTTCTTTTTTTTTCTGTCGGCTGCCAACCAAATAAATGCCTTTGACTCATTTTTGGTAATTGTAGGGAACTGTACAAATACCAATTACCAATCCACAATTATTTGCATATGCAGCACTCCCAGTCAACCTTTTGAACTCTCTTGAACTCCTTTTCGTGACATAGAAAGGCATGCCACATGGAACCACCTCTTGCAGCAGTGACATTCGATCTGTTAAAAGATAATAATAACCTTATCAAATTGCTCAGTAATCAATTAGTTTATCACTCAATTCCAATTCAATTTTCCAATGTTTTGTGACCTAATCTAAAGTGAGAACAATTTACTCATAATTACCAATTAAAATGTATTTACTACGAGCTGATTAAACAATAACAATTGTGTGTGTACAAACACTCCACAGCTGTGCCAGTCTCGTTGTTTGGAATGGTTCATTTGTCCTCCATTCCATTTTATGTCCACCCAGTCATTTTTACTGAGACAGATTCTTCTCATCTTGAAGTACTCTCTAGGCAGTGTAAATAAAGAAAATCATTAAGATTCTAAATGTAAACAATATTTGTGTTTGTTACTACTTTGTTGAGTCTAAATGTAGAGAAAGGTGACAAATCAGTTGCTGGTCTTCTACAGTGAGGGGTTTGTTTGATTGTTTCCCGCCTTGTAGGGTATTTTCCCGATCACATCCCCACTATTCTACCCTATATTGTCTTGTCAATTCTCCATGATCCCTACCCCAATAAAACAAAAATAGGCCATAAACCGAACAAAACAAAAATACAAATAAACAATAAAAACACATTATTGTGGTTTATACTACTTTAAGTTTAATTGATTTAACCATATTTACCAAATTTTATTACAAAATACAAACAATAAATGTTGTGAATCTTTTTTATTAAAGAGACTCGTTATCAATTTAAATGAATGTGCTGCATTGTGCTCTCTCTGTTTCCTTTACAGGCCATATAATTTGTTTATTAGTAAGGCAACAATATGCACTTTGCTTTAGTGCATTAAACACAAAATATGAGGGAAAAAGTGTTAAGCGAGTCAAAATGATTGACAGGATAACATTAAGCATTAAAACATTATGGCCTACTAAATTCCTATATATTTATATGGTAATTATTGTCTTTCTTATCTCACTTTACACTTAATGATTGTGAGATGCTTGCTATATACATTCAAAGTTAATAGGTACATTTGTTGTAAGTAAAAAATAATAATAACGTGTTTATAAAAACCTTATGAGAAGGCTAGTATACTTACACAATGTCAAAGACTCAAAAGCCTGTCATTTTATTCTTACAAACATAATTGAGGATCCAGAGATTTACAATATCTATTTCAAGTCTTTGGAACACTAACAGGAGGGATAGAAAATATGTATATTTTTAAATAATGTATAAAATATTTACATTTTCAAGATGATACCGAAGAGCACTGACAAACATTTTGGTCCAAAATCTCATTATGTGATATTTCATATTTAGTTTAATAAAGATCTTGTGATAGACGAGGGCACATCATGCAGTTTTTCTTAGTCGCTTTGGTACATTTCTCTAATCATCCTCGAAATTTGCAAAACAGTAAGTGCAATTCTCAAAACAATTCGTACAAATAGCAAAATACCATGGATTACCTGCAAAAGCCAGTCTCTTGCTCAAAATCCTTAGTTCATCTCTCAAAGGTAAATATCTGTGTCAATGAACATGTCAGCGCCATCAGAGTGACAAGTCCTTGTGTCATTGTGTACGGATAAGACTTGCTTAGTCATGTTGTCAATATAACAGTGTACTCTGGACGGATGTTCTGATGTAAACTATGGATAAAGTTTTGATGACAATTATTGTAAATTGTAGGTTACACCTTAGTGTATGATTGCAAGAGACTGGACAAGATTCACATTTTGTGAAACCCGGGCTCCGGTTTCAGCTGCCGCTGTGTGTTCAGCTCCTCCCGCATCCACACAGAACGGAGCAGAGGATGTAAACTGTAGTTCATGGTCCACTTCTCTTTCTGTAGGTGATCAGGAAGATCTCTGCAGTCCCTGTGTCTCTCCAGCTCACCCTATACAAATGATCATAACTGTTTATCTACACTAATCCTAACAATACAATCCAAGCCATGTCTGCTGTGATTCAGATAAGTGTAATGTCACTGGCCACCTGTTCAGTGCAACCAAGGATGGCGCTCAATGTCGTCTAAACTGGGACGATCTCCTGCCGCGTCACTGAGACACCAGCTAATCAACTGACGGCACTCTGTTACACACAACACAGTCTTCAGGAACACAAAAGAACAAACTTATCCTGGGTTTCTACTTCTGAATGTTTGCTATCTCTTGCCTATAGACAGTTCTCTAGGGAAGAGCAGTCGGCTTTTGAAGGAGACCCTCCGTGCGGCTCTGAAGGGAAAGCACAGGATGTTGTAGAGCGTCACCCCCACTGACCAAACAGTAGCCGGTCCTGCATGATAGGAGTGCTGATCAAACCACTCAGGAGGAGCGTATTCACGACTACCTGAGAGACCCAAGAAGACCAGAAACATACACTGAAAAGGTTCCAGTCCAAACAAATTCTCTTTGTTTGATCTTCAAAAGTTCAGTAAACATCCACAGAACGTTTCCTGCTGTAACGCAAAACTAACCTGCATAGTATGTGTAGGCCGAGTCCTTTAGCAGGTCTCCACAACCAAAGTCCAGCAGCTTGATGTCATGGGACGCTGTGGCAATCAGCAGGTTCTCTGGCTTGACGTCCCGGTGCAGGACTCCGCGGCTCTCGCAGTGTTTCAGAGCGGTGATCAGCTGAACCAGCACTTTCTTGGCCAAGCTCTCATCCACACAGCCGTTCTCCTCGCAGAAACTCTGCAGATCTTGGCAGGGAACTGGCCGTTCCAGGATCATGCTGTAGCGACTGCGACGGTCAAACCACTCCACAAGCTGCAGGACGTTGGGGCAGGCAGGAGCTGAATTGACCCGGGTCATCAATGCCACCTCCAGCGGCAGCAGACCCTGACCTTCCTGCAGGGACAAAGGCTCCGTTATATCCAGGGCTGAACGAAACGGATGAAACAACAGATTCACACTGGAACTTACAACTTTCAGCCTCTCTTGGGTCCTGTCTTTAGAGACGTACTTGATGGCAACCTGTAGACGGATAAACCACAGTAAATCACACCTGCCTAATTGTGACAGATGACATTTACTGATATCAACATTTCTAAAGGCTGTCTGAACAAAGGAGGGAAGAAAATGTCTTACTGGCAGTCTGTCAGACCTGCGGATCCCAGCATACACAGAGCCGAATCCGCCTCGTCCCAGCAATGGGCCCTTCGCATATGCTTCTGTAACACATATGATCACAAGAAATGTCCTTAAGAGAACACATGTATCTAATGAAAAATCATTTAATAATTGAGCCATAACTTTTAAATGAAAAGCTTATTCTGACCTTTGCGAGAACGTTTAGCAGGTCTTTTAAACGAAGTGGACGGACGTCCATCATCTTGGCTCCTCTGGCTGCCGCTTTGCCTCTTCCTCTTCCTGTCAGCCTTACCTGTGGAAACAGAAAACACAGAAGACAGAGGTGCTAAATATCCAGGAAGCTCCCGGCTCAATGTCTGCGTCGGGTCTGGCAGCGGATCCTGATCGCCATCATCAGAACCGAGTCTCTCCTGACCAGCCGTCTGAGTGGAAGCGGCTCTGCTGGATCTGGAGCGGCCTGAGGATGGAATATTTCAGACATCAAAAAATGTTTTTTTATCAGTAATTAATGTCACCAGTCACATCAAATTATTACTTTATTATTTTCAACTTTTTATTTTCAATGACAAATCATTTAATTATTAACAGAGACGTAACTTTTTTTAATAAAAGCTTATTCTGACCTCTGCGAGAGCGTTTAGCAGGTCTTTTAAATGAAGTGGACGGACGTCCATCATCTTGGCTCCTCTGGCTGCCGCTTTGCCTCTTCCTCTTCCTGTCAGCCTTACCTGTGGAAACAGAAACAGAAAACACAGAAGACAGAGGTGCTAAATATCCAGGAAGCTCCTGGCTCAGTGTCTGCGTCGGGTCTGGCAGCGGATCCTGATCGCCATCATCAGAACCGAGTCTCTCCTGACCAGCCGTCTGAGTGGAAGCGGCTCTGCTGGATCTGGAGCGGCCTGAGGATGGAATATTTCAGACATCACATGGTAATGTTTTAATAATAATCAATATTTAATGCCAGTGGTCAATTAATAATTGTTACTAGTTAACGTTACTCAAATAGAAAAGTTTATTTCATATGCAAGGCATCGAATACATGTGATCACTTAGCTGGGAACATTTAGGGATCAAATTAGTTATCTCGCACAAGTTTCTTCACATTAAGTTAGTCAATCATTGTACCGGGTACAACATCATACCAAAACATACCAATAAAAAATTAAAGACTCACCTCCTCTTTCACCAATGTGAGCCATCGATATCCTCCTCCAACCTGCAATAAAAACAATACAAAAAAGAGAATACAAATCTCCCCAGAAATACTCCTCCTCCAAATAAAAAAATAAAAAGAAAGTATAAAATTAAATAAAAAATGAAATAAAACTCGAAACTCCTTCTAAAATCAGAAAAGAACAATCAAATAAAAGTTTTGAATATTTTAAAATAAGATATGAACTCTTTCAAAAGTAAAACTGTGTGATGAAAATATTCTCCGATCTCTTTCTAAAGTCTCCTCTCAGCAATCCTCCGAACAGCTTCAAAATACTCTGTAAAAGTCTCTTAATTCGCCTCGTCCGTCAACCATCAGATGGCGATCAGTGAAATTGTTGATATATGCAGTCAGAATTCAAAAAACGCGTCGCTATAGCAACTAAAATCGAATCGCTCATTGGCACAACACGCACGTGAAGTCGCGTGCGTGAGTACAGCAGAGCACGTGAGCGCACATCGAGCTTAATCTTTGACGTTTTCTTTAATACTTGTGAGATTTATTCAAATTCTGAACATATATGATTATTATTATTATTATTATTATTACAATCCGTGGAATTATTCGTGTAAAATCTTCGTCAAGCTAATTGCAAAAGCGTCCACTTCCCAAAGCTAATTTTCACTCACAGTCTTGGAACCCAGTCATTGCTTCTGTCCAAAATGCGAGCAAAAAAGCTAAAGGGAGGATAAATTGGACGAGTGGCCACCCACTTATACACCTCATACGGATACTTGTTGTAAAGATGTCTCTCTCAACAGGGAAAAAGTGGATATTTTTCATGAAGTTGGTTTGACGTTCGATATTCGCGTATTTAGGGACCGTCTCTAAAGTTACATGCGACATTGGTATATGGGTGATTCTTCAATTACGGGAACTTTTATGTCCCCAGGTTATACATTCATGTTAAAAATACTATTTTATAAAATAAATAGTTTAGTTATTTCAAATAATATTTATTGCACCACCAAAAAATGTTATACACTAAAATCAGTATGATTTCCATTTTTAAAAATGCTTTCATCACTAATATTTGGCTACTTAGGCCTTGTCCCCAACCCAGACTTTAAAACTTATCTGCTCTGAAAATGTGATCAAATGTTATCAGTTAATTAAAAAATCACAATATATGTTTAAACAGTAACTTAAAAAGGCACTTGATGCATAATTTGGGTTCATATCTGTGCAATTTGTGAATATTTTTAACAATTTAGTATTGTCCACAACAATACTGTCATTACCGCGACAGTCTATGATTACAACAAGGATATTTTTGAGGGTAAGACTTGTTTATGCCATAACCATGGAAATGAAGACTAGCAGGGGAGCACATGTCAGCCACGAAAGAACAGTGAAATTTGATGTCTGAAAAAGTAAGTAATTTAATCATGAATTCCTTCTGATCATGGAGTAGACTTATTCAGCGTCATTACCATAAATGCTGTAGCAGCAATATTTTGATAAATATATATATATATTCACAATGATTTATGTGTATTTAAAGGTCTTTTTGTACTAGCTGTTGAGTAATGTTAGCAAAACCATGACCTAGCATCTTTTTTCCTGAAAAAAATAAAAAATGTCATTACCGCAACACGTCATTACCAACACACAACTTGTTGTGATGGTAATGACAAGTGATGGTGGTAATGACATGTTCTGTGTCACTATCTATATCATATTATGTGTTTATAAATTAAGTTAAAGAAGCATAATAGTGTGATTTTACAATGAAACTTAAGTGAGATGCCTTACTTCCTAAAACTATTTTTTGTCTTATTTTTTAACCAGAATGGCTCCCAAGAAATCAACTGAAAGGTCTAGAGATTATAGAAAAAAATTGAAGGAAGATCCTGTAAAATATCAGCAGTACATTGACAGAGAAAAGGAAAGATACAAAAGAAGAAAAGAAACAGGAAAGCTAATCTCACAACTTTCAAAACGGGAGCAAAGGCAGAAACTAGAGATGGGCCGATTAAAATTTTCTAGGCCGATTCCGATTTTTCAGAGTTTGACCTGCCGATACCAATTTTTAGCCGATTACGATTTCATTTTTTCTAATCACTTTACAGCACACACAAATATTTATTTTCTCTCTTTTCTTTAGTATAACATTTTACATTTTGCATAGAATATTTTTGAACAGTAATCACTATAAAATAGGACTATATAAATTACTCCTCTAAAAATGTGCAGTGAATCTAAAGTGCAGTGTTATGGAAGAACCATTTCCTTCTTTTCACATCCAATATCCAACAAAAAAAGTGTTAATTTCAAAAAGAAAATTCATTTTCTTTTCTGACAAATACTCCAGTTCTTGTTAAAACACACCAGACGTGCAAATTCTGTGCATTTTGGGCACTTTTGTGTGAAATCATATTTATTTTGTCCATCAAAAGTGTGTTTTCACTTTAATTGAGCGTGAGCAGTGCAGCAAAAATAGACTCTGCACCGAAACCCGTGCTTCACCGCTGCTCACGCGCGGCTCCCGCTCCCGGTGTGAATGCACTCATTGATTAACATGCACGCTTGAAATAATACGCGCTGCTCACGTTTGCGGTGTGAAACGGCCGTAATTCACGAGGTTTCCAATATGTGCGTTCCGTGTGCACGTGTGATGCTGATGTTGCTCGATATTAATCATGCGGCGCCCGAGTGTATTTGACCGGCATAAAATGTCATCGCCGATCATGGCCAATCGAAAATCGGCCAATTCCAGTCACCAGCCGATCAATCGGTGCATCTCTAACAGAAACGCAAACAATGGAGAGTTAACCAAAACAATCAAAGAGCCAATGACAAAATTCGACAGGAAGTACAACACTATGTAGCTTCAAACACCCCCCAACATCTCCAGTGCAACAGGGTCAGAACAGTGAAAATGAAAATCATGAAACTCCTTGCAGAAGAGGTCGTAAGAAAGTTAAAGGACAAGTTCGGTATTTTACACAAGCCCCGTTTCAAGATCATTTCTGATGAAATAGAACAAGATTACAATTTGGACACATGCTGCTGTCCCGAGAATTTTCGGTTTCTGTGGTTGCACAACCCTGTCAATCTCCTTACATCTGTCCATTTCTTTCAACAACACTCACCAGAAGTCATTATTTAAGCCTTTAAATTTGATTTATGTATCAGTACACTTTTCATTTGTCATTACCAAAACACTATGTCATTACCAGAACAGTATGTCATTACCACCACGTTGCTTAATTTACAGCAAACATACCTTTAAATCTGTTTTATGTTCAATCTTGAGGTGCTACATGAAAAGCCTAATGAAATACTCATCCACCTATTCAAAGAAAAAACATCTAAAATTAATTTTACAGAAATTAAACAAAAGTGTGCTTTGATGAATACAGGAAAACACATTTTGATGGTAAGAACAAGAAAATATATGGAATTCGCAGAATGGAAACATTTTGTTTTTTATATGTATTGTTGAAGGTTAACAATGTTTGCAAGATGAATGAGTTTAAATGATCTCCTTGATACATTCTTTGCATTATGAGACTTTTTGATGTTGTGATGGGAATGACGTTTTTCAGTGCCAGTTGGCAAATAGATATAAAATACTCAAATTATATTTAAGCTCAGTCGTGGCCATTATTATATCTTTACATCAAAGCATGTAAACATTGCCTTGACATAATTCCAACAAAATTCAACCAGATTTCATTCATCAAAATGTAAGATGGCAAAATAGCCCCCAATTGAAGAATCACCCATAAACGTCTCTAACTTTTGCATTTGAAGACAATGACTTACAGTCATAAAACCAACTGTAAATTGTTCATCTAGGTCTCAGGTATGATGCACATCTTTTATATTTTTTATATTTATGACAATAAACTGTTAAATCACGTGTAAATATTGCTATGTATTTCACTACTGTATGGGGTCATACACAAAATATGACATCATTTAAAGCTCAATAGCATTTGAAGACAATGACTTACAGTAATAAACCAACTGTAAAGTGTTCATAGGTGTCAAATATGATGCACACCTTTTAGATTTTTGATATATATGACAATAAACTGTTAAATCATGTGTAAATATTGCTATGTATTTCACTGCTGTATGGGGTCATACACAAAATATGACATACTTTAAAGCTCAATAAAAAAAAATATGATACAAAATATCTTAATATATCAAACATGTTTATTTGTTTTTCTTCTTTTTTTTTCTGTCGGCTGCCAACCAAATAAATGCCTTTGACTCATTTTTGGTAATTGTAGGGAACTGTAAAAATACCAATTACCAATCCACAATTATTTGCATATGCAGCACTCCCAGTCAACCTTTTGAACTCTCTTGAACTCCTTTTCGTGACATAGAAAGGCATGCCACATGGAACCACCTCTTGCAGCGGTGACATTCGATCTGTTAAAAGATAATAATAACCTTATCAAATTGCTCAGTAATCAATTAGTTTATCACTCAATTCCAATTCAATTTTCCAATGTTTTGTGACCTAATCTAAAGTGAGAACAATTTACTCATAATTACCAATTAAAATTTCTTTACTACGAGCTGATTAAACAATAACAATTGTGTGTGTACAAACACTCCACAGCTGTGCCAGTCTCGTTGTTTGGAATGGTTCATTTGTCCTCCATTCCATTTTATGTCCACCCAGTCATTTTTACTGAGACAGATTCTTCTCATCTTGAAGTACTCTCTAGGCAGTGTAAATAAAGAAAATCATTAAGATTCTAAATGTAAACAATATTTGTGTTTGTTACTACTTTGTTGAGTCTAAATGTAGAGAAAGGTGACAAATCAGTTGCTGGTCTTCTACAGTGAGGGGTTTGTTTGATTGTTTCCCGCCTTGTAGGGTATTTTCCCGATCACATCCCCACTATTCTACCCTATATTGTCTTGTCAATTCTCCATGATCCCTACCCCAATAAAACAAAAATAGGCCATAAACCGAACAAAACAAAAATACAAATAAACAATAAAAACACATTCTTG